GAGGATTAGCAAGCAATCATTGCCTAGGGAAAAGGAGCATAATTAGATACTCTCTCTTTTGAGTGTTTAAGAGGAAAAATTGCAGATCCCTAGGATGTGGGCTCCTTGGGAAACTTGTCCTGGGCCTGCTTGCTTCCCTGGCAATTGATTGTGCTGTGTATGGAAATAGAAAACATATACCACTAAGAGCTTCAGTTGTGGGAACTGTGACCTGGACATCTTTGGCTGAGCTGGGCACCAAGGGAATGGGCTTGTCCACTCTCAGAAAACTTCGCTGAACTGGGTTCAGCTGAACTGCTGAACCTTGTTATGTGGTCGGTATTAGCCTGCTTGGGCTGTTTTGACAAGGTACCTTATGGAATTCTGTGGTGGTCCAGTGGTTAGGACTCAACACTTTCACTGCCCTGGGCCAGGGTGGATCCGTGGTTGGGGAACTAGGATCCTGTAAGCTGCCAAGGAGCAGCCAAAAAGAAAACAAAACATTAGACTGGGTGGTGTAAACAACAGAAATTTATTTTCTCACAGTTCTGGAGGCTAAAAGTCCAAGATCAAGATTGTGACTGATTCTCTGGTGAAAGCTCTCTTCCTGGCTTGTAGTTACCCACCTCTTTGCTACACAGTCACATGTCCTGTTGTGTATATGTGCATGGGGTGGGGGTGAGCAAGCACCCTCTGGTGTCTCCTCTTACGAGGATAATACTCCTGTTGGATCCAGTCCCCAACCTTACGACTTTATTTAGCCTTGATTACTTCCTCAGGGGTCTGATCTCCAAACATAGCCACTTTGGAAGGTAGGACTTTAACATACGAATTTTGGGAGGACACAGACATTCACATCATAACATGGTCCCAGGATACAATGATGCTACTACTATGGAAACTGTACTGATCTTCCTGGAGTAGAATTTCAAAGATAGCTACACTCTTCTTCTCTTTGAATCCATTACCCCTTGCCATGTAACTTTAGTCCCTTTCTACACTGACTTGCTTTAGCAACAACTTGCTTTGTGATTTATGACTTGCTTTGGCAATGGCACAGTTGTCAATGCAACACCGAGGAAGACCTAAAAAGTGCTTTCACATTGAGGCTTGCTGATTTTTTTCTGTTCTTGGGACCCCTATACTGCTGCCATGTGAAGACATTCAAGTTAGTCTGCTGGATGATATGTGACTTAGTTGGCTCCACTGCTATGGCCAACAGTCTGAAAACTGCCAGATGTCTGAGAAAGGCCATTCTAGATTATCTAGCCACCCGTCAATCCTCAGCTAACTGCAGATGCACTTGCAAGCCAAGCAGTGATCAGCTAAACTGGTCCAGGCCAGAAGAACCACCAACTGATCTACAGAATCGTCAGCTAAATAAATGCCTATTGTTTTAAGTCACACATTTTGAGATGGTTTATTATATAACAATAGACAACCACCATCATTACCTTTTAGAATATGTAGGAACTTTGAAATTCTTAAATAATTAAGGAGGAGATACCAGACTTCCTGATAACTTGACATGAGGGGCCTGAGTGACTAATTAGAAAACAGAAAATAATGTCATTACATGTATAACCCCAAGATTATTGAGCAGTTTGTATTTGTTATACATCTAAATACTGGTAGCTCTCACTTCTGGGCTCTAAACCAATTTAATCAATAGTTCACTGTACATACTCCCATAGATATCTCACTGGTACTTAACAGCAAACACAACTAAATGATCAATCATAATCTCCTTCAAACTTCTTTACTGTTTCCTATATCAGTTGTCCAAGCCAGAATCTTGGAAATTATTCTCAAATATTCTTTCTTTGTCTCTACCCAGATGAATCAACAGTTCCTATTGCTTCTGCTTTCTGAGTCTCTCTAAAATTCATTCACTTTCTTTCATCAGGACTATCACTTTCTTAGTACTTGTCATCATCACCTCTCTCCCAGATAATTATAACATTATCTTTATTCGGCTAGCATAGAATTTGCTAGTGGAATGGATGTGAAATGTGTGAGAAAGAAAATATTCAAGTATCATTCTGAGGTTTTGGCCTGAGAAACTGAAAAAAATATTGGCTTGTCATTTATTAAGCTGGGGAAGATAGGAGTAAGAGTGGACTCAGGCCAGACTGTGCCACATGGCCATTTCTGACAGATGAGAGGCTGAGAAACTAAGTATCTGAGTGTATTAGCTTTCTATTACTGGATAATAAATTACCATAAACTTATCAGTTTAAAATAATACATGTTTATCTCACAATACCTGTGTATTGTGAGTCCAGATATGGCTGGGCTATGTTGTCATCTTGAGAAGTTTGCTTTCAAGCTCACTCAGATTGTTGGTAGAATTAATGTCCTTGTGATTGTAGGTTCCTTTGTTTTGTTTTTCTGCTGGCTCTTGGCCAGAGTTGCCCATAGCTTCTAGAGGTTGCCTGCAATTTCCTGCCACATGACTTTCTCTATAGGCAGTTCAGAACACAGTAGCTTGCTTCTTCAAGCCATTAGAATGAAAATGAGAGTGGGTCTGTTAGCAAGACAGAGTCTTATACAAAAATATAAAAAAGAAAAAAAAAGAGTCTTATACAATGTAATATAATGTAATCACAAAAGTGATATCATACCATTTTTGCTATTTAAAAGCAAGTCACAGGTCCCACCCACCTCAAGGGAAGGGGATCACACAAAGGGTTAAACTGGAGAGGAGGTGGATCATGAGGGCAACCTTAGAGGGTATGTGCCACACTGATTTTCCCAGTCCTACAGTGGAAGGTAAGCAGTTGAAGTAGAGCTCTGGTCCCTAAGTTGCCAAGGCTGAGTCAGGGAATTCTCTTGCCAGAGATTGTGAATCTGGAATGATGATGCAATTAGAGAGAAGAGAAGGTTAGAATCCCTTTGTACAGGTATGTGGCAGCAGCATAGCACATTGGCTGGTGGTGGTATGGGAGCACTGGTGACAGCACTGCCCTAAAATTGTCTCTAGTATGTTCTCTGGAGAGGCTCCTTGTTTCTTGCTAGTATCATAAGCCTGATCCTCCAATCTCTGTTCTATGAAGTCCTCTATATAGTCTTCTAATAATTCCCCCTTAGGGTAATCAGTTTGTTTCTGTAACCGAGAATGTGTCATACTCTGTACATACAGGGAAATATAAACAGTTGGCATAGTGAAAGTGAAAGTCGCTCAGTCGTGTCTGACTCTTTGTGACCCCATGGACTGTATAGTCCATGGAATTCTCTAGGCCAGAATATTGGAGTGGGTAGCCTTTCCCTTCTCCAGGGGATCTTCCCAAACCAGAGATCAAACCCAGGTCTCCCGCATTGCAGGTGGATTCTTTACCAGCTGAGCCACAAGGGAAGCCCAAACAGTTGGCATAACTGTAAATAACTGCAGGTGGCTCAATGATAAAGAATCTGCCTGACAATGCAGGAGATGCGGGTTCTAATCCTGGGTCAGGAAGATCCCCTGGAGGAAGAAATTGCAACCCATTCTGGCATTCTTGCCTGGAGAATCCCATGAACAGAGAAGTCTGGTGGGTTACAGTCTATGGGGTTGCAAAGTGTCGGACACGACTGAGCAATTAAGCACACATACACACAGGAGTTAACAGGAGAAGGTGGCATAGACAGAGACCAGATTTCAGATGTCCTTGCCAATCATACTAAGTTCAGTGGTAGACTTCATCTTGAAGGTCATGGAAACATATTTAACTGTTTTAAGCAAGAAAGTAACATGTTTTTTGAAGATTCTTGTAAAGGCTTATTGGAGGACGGGTTTGAAGAGAAAGGGTCTGGATGTAGATGAATTAGTTAGAAAGTTTTCCTAGTCAAGTAGGTGAGAGAAGATAAGACTTGAAGTGAGGTAGTACTAGTAGGATGTAACGAGGAGACAGATTGGAGAGGTGGTAAGGTTACAGAAGAAGCAAGACTTGTTCATTAATTGGATGTGGGGACTGGAGGGGGAGGAAAGAAGTACAGGATGACTTCTAGGTTTCTGGTTGAGACAACGAGGGGTGGATGGTGGTGAGGAACTGAAACAGGGATAGAAGGAGCAGATTGACGATTGGCTGTAGAATACATTGGTTGTGTGTGTAGGCTCTGATATCTGATAGACCTTGGTCTGAGTCCTGGCTCTGCACTTATTAGCTGTGTCATATTGAACATTTTATGTAACTCGAACCTCAGTTTCCTCAACTGTAAACTGGAAATAATACAACTTACCTCTTGTTCACATATGTGTGAATTGAATGCACACTGTCTGGTATCCAGTAGTTTTGCTATAATGTTATTTATTATTACCTTTCAGAAAAGGTTCAGGGAAGAGGCTCAGGAAAAAAAGGGTGACCCCTTAAGGAAATGCTTCTGTGAAAGCATTCCTGTCAAGTCAAAAGAGGAAAAATACGGTGCTGTGGCAGACTAGCTGAAGCCAGAAGGAGGAGGCCAGACAGGGCTGAGCTACAGCCACGTTGCTGAGCAGATGAGTCACTGAAAGTGGTAGGCTGAGCTGCCCAGGCCACAACTGGACTCGCAGTGGCCAGGCTGGACTGGGCTATAACGTGATGACTTCATTGTCAGTGGGGAGTCATGGTGATGTTCTGGAAGCTTATCTTCCCTTTCCCCTTGAAGCAATCTATTGCTTCTTCCTCTTTTATAGGACTTTCCACATCCTGTCTTACTTTTTGGAAGCAGCAGGAAACCGTGGAAAGAGGCAGAAAAGCCAGAATTTGAGTTCTGCCTAGCTTGCTCAGTGACCTGGTGCATGTCACTTCTCGTCGGTCTTCTTATCTGTAACAGGAGAATGAACAGACCTGCCTTCAAAGTGTGATGTGACGATCAGATGACAGTTGTGGAAGGTGCTTAATAAAAAGGCACGCATTCGTGTTCTGTTCACTAGTTGTCTCCTTTATCTTCTTGCTGCTCCTGGTCCTTCTCCACCTACTTCCTTGAGGACGTTGATCAGTTCTAATTCATTTTAGATGCGCACCACTTAGCTTGGCCTGGCACAAAATTTCATGAATGGACGAATGAAAGAATCAATGAACCGTCCGCGGCAACCACAGGCGCGTCGGGGCACCGCCCCCTTCCGCTCTCCACCCCCTCCCTCACACACCACGCGGTGGGGCCAAGGGCGGGTCTCTCGCGACCGTTCGCTGGCGCGTGCGCGGGAAACGGCGCGCGGCCGGAGGTGGCGGGCGGGCTCCCGGTGCGCGCGCGCGAGGGGAAAGGTGGCGGAGCTGTCCCAGTCCCAGCCCCTGCCCCTGCCCTCGCGCCGGCGAGCGCCGCCCGGGAGGCAGCGACTGGAGGAGCGGACCGGGCCCGCGGGGCCCGAAGTCAGGGAGCAGGTAGGGCTGGCCGGGGTCTTGGAGGGAAAGGATGGGGAGGGGGAGCCTGAGTGGGACTCTGAGTGGGACTGATGGGGGAGGGCTATCTCGGGCGGGAAGATTTGGGCTGGGGGAGTTGAAGGGGTGGGGACTGAAGTGAAGTTGGGCTGGAGGAATGGGAAGTCTGGAGGGGCAGGAGGAATGGGAGGTCTGGAGAGGCAGAAAAATGGGGAATGGCGAAATGGAAGTATTAGTCTGGGGTTGAATGGGAAATGAGAGAGTAGGGATGAAAAATGGTCCTATGGGCGTTTGAGGTAAAGGGTTCTGGAGGAGAAGGGACTCCGGAATGTGGGCTGGGAGTAAATGAAGTGCAAAGAATAGGCTTACTAAAGGGGTACGGAGGAATTATCCAGAGGGGCAAAAAGTGTAAGGTATGGAGAGTCAGTGTGATATAGTAAATGTTATCTTATTTTCTCGAGGTTGCCTTGACAGTTGTGAAAAAGATGTCATTCCTAAGCTTTCTCTAGTTTGGCCATCGTTGTAGTCTTGTTGGAATATGTTTCTAGCCATTGTTAAAGTTCTCTCCAGTAATGATCCATTTCACGAGAAAGCACTTTTTAAAACATGTGCTTTGGGGATGCATGTGTGCAATCCCAAGGCAGTACTGTGAGCAGAGAATTCGTAGATTTAGTCTCTGCCTTATAGAAGTTTACCACTGAAAATATCTTAGTGAGAAAACATAGAAAGAAATGCAAAAAGTTCGTGGAGTTTCTGAATGGACAGGATGTGTTTATATATTAATTTATTAATCAAGTGTGGGTTATTTAGAAGTAGGGGATAAAGGTCAGTTTTATCAGGGAGAAGTTGTCATTAGTAGCTGTAGGAAGTTCAGTGAATACGTGCATGGTCTTTGATCTTATGGGATTTACAGAAAAATGTACTGTAGTAATGGACTCCAGTGACAGCTTCCCTTTTGCACATACTATTCAAGACCCTACTGACTTCATCTTTGGAGATTTGAAGGGTCCTGTTAGGTCACCTGCCTAACAGGAGACCTTTCCCGTTTGTTAAATAAGTATTTTCCATAGACATCATTATTATATATAGTTTCAGTGATGCACATGTTAGCACTTGGACTTTCCCCCACTGTTGGTTTTTTATCTTGTATTCTCCACCCAGTGCTGAGTAGACTGTGCCATTGCTATCTTTGCCCTTACTTTCATGCAGCTGAGGATTGTCCTTTTACTATAATTTTCTCTCTCAACCTTGTCTTTTATATTCTCTGCAGTTCCTAGTCGAAACATTTTAAAATGTACTTAAAACCCAGATCCTTTCCTTACTCAGTTTACCTGGTCCAATTTACCTTATCCAGTGCTTCACTGAAGATTCAAGGTTACTTGATTTCTTCTCCTTTATCTCAGGATTTCTGTGTTCACTCATCCTTTTAAATCTCAAAGAAGGAAGTACCTATCCTCTTCCAGGCTAATTTCTCGATGTTTTTTATTTCATTCCCTCTTATATTCTATAGGCCCTTGTTGTATTATACCGCAAATAAAAGCAAGACAACAGGATTTCCCTGAGTTTTGTAACCTACTTAAGCTACTTTGTAATCTCATTTTTGCTAACCAGCAAACTTCTTGAAAAATGAGTTTATATTTAGGAGGCTGAGAAAGCTCCAGGAGATGGTGAAGGATAGAGAAGCCTGGCGTGCTGCAGTCCATGGGGTTGCAAAGAGTTGGACACAACTGCGTGACTGAACAACAGTTCACTGTCTCAGCTTCTTCACCTTGTATACAGTCCTCGTATATTTGGCTTTTACACATAAACTCTCCCCAAACTGATGTCTTCAAGGTCATCAGTAACTTGTATGTTTATTTATTTACTTTTTAATTGTGATGTGACTACAGAGTGCAAATCAAAGGTTCATTGAGCCCATGAATTTTTACAGAATGAATACACCTATGTGACCACTCCTCGGATAAAGATGTAAAACATTTCCAGTACCCTAGAATGTGCCTTTGTGTTTTCTCCCAGGTATTACCCATCTCTAGAGGTAACCACTCACCCAGCCTCTATCACCATGGATTAGTGTTGCCTCTTCTGAACTTCATATAAATTAAATCATTCAGCTTAACTCTTCTATGACTGTACTCTTTCATTCAGCTATGTCTGTAAGATTCATCTATGTTCTTTTAGAAAAAGCTTGTTCTTCACTGCTGTATAGTTCTCCCTTGTGTAATGTTCCATGATCGATGCTAAAACTTCCTTTTTTTAAGTTGAAAAATAATATGTGGCTATTTTTGAAAAGTTTTCATTGTGAAAGAATTACACAGAAAGATTTGCAGCAGTCCTGGGGACCTTAAAATGACTAAATCTGATAACCTCCCTCTTCTCTGACCTCTGTGAACTATTGGTCACTCTTGACCATGTGTTTCTTTTGAAGTTTTCTTCTCTTTTGTCATAATGTCTTTTTCACTCCTGTTTCTCTGACTGCTTCTTGGGTGTCTTTCTGTTTTCTGTCGCTGTCCCCAGTATGTTCCTTGAGGATGTGTTTCCTCTCTGTCCTTAGCTTTTTTCTTTTTCTTTTTTCTGGTCATGCTGAGGCTTACAGGACCTTAGTTTCCCAACCGGGGAACCCAGGCCCCTGCTTGTGAAAGCACTGAGTCCTAACCACTGAACCAACAGAGAATTCCCAGCTTTTTTCTTTTATTCTTTGTTTTTAAAATTTTATTTATTTATTCACTTTTGGTTGTGCTGGGTCTTTGTTGCTGCTCAGGCTTTTCTCCAGTTGCCGGGAGTGGGGATTACTCTCTAGTTGCTGAGCATGGGCTTCTCCTTGTGGTGGTTTATCTTGTTGCAGAGCACAGGCTCCAGGGTACATGGGCTTAGTAGTTGCAGCTTATGGGCTCTAGAGCATGTGGGCTTCATTAGTTGTGACGTGAAAGCTCAGTAGTTGCGAGTGCATGCTCAGTAGTTGTGGCACACTGGCTTAGTTGCCCCTTGGCATGTGGAATTTTCCCTGACCACGGATTGAATCCATGCCTCTTGCATTAGCAAGTGGATTCTTAACCACTGGATCACCAGGGAAGTCCACGGGTTTTTTTCTTAATTGTGTTTTGTTTTTTAACAGGATTACCCTATTCATGGCAAGTACTTAGGATACGGAGTGGGGCCTATGTGCTATGCTTAGTCGCTCAGTTGTGTCCGACTGTTTTGTACATGGGGATTCTCCAGGCAAGAATACTGGAGTGGGTTGCTATGCCCTCCTCCAAGGGATCTTCCCAACCCAAGAATTGAACCCATTTCTTCACATTGCAGGCAGATTCTTTACCGACTGAGCCAAAGGGTCTGTAGTTCTTTTTGTTTGTGACATTGTGTCACAGAGCCTCCTTGTAGTCTCCAGGCCTGACTTCTTTTCTTAGTTCTATATTTCCATTTCTAGCCTTAACATTTCCATCTTAGACTCTCAGCATTTGTGATCTTAACATTTGTGGTTTTCATAATTTGATAGTGTCCTTGAAATTATTTGTTGAAAACTTAAAAAATTTCAATTTTGTGTGTTATGAGGTGGGATGGATTATTCCATTTATTCAGGAAGTAAAAACCTAGCTGATCACCAAGGTATCTACCTTTCAGAAATGACTTTGTTCTTCATTTCTCCTGACATGGAAAAATGCTGTTATATGTTATACCATGCTGGTATTTAGGAATAATTTCTGAACAGGATGCAGAACTTGGATCTCTGGATTAGTGGCTTACTATATCATTGAAATACTGATAGATTCCATTATTCTCTTTTGAAATGTGCTTCTCCCTGTGTTTTTCCTTTCTGTGGTCCTCAAACTTGAACTTATATCCGTGGTCTTTGTCTTTTTGCTCTCCCTTGACCCCCTTCTCCAGATTCTGCTGATTTGGTCTTCATGATCTCTTTCAAATTTTTGTGCTCACTGTCATCATCTTAATTTACACCATTTATAAACTTTTGTCTTGGTTGTTGTAATATCTTAACTGCATTTAGTCTGCTTTTAGCCTTTTAGCCTCTAATTTATTCTGTATTCTAATAAAGAAGATTGGAACTCCTTGCCTGAGTTGCAAATAAAGTATTTTTAAATGATCAGTTCATTGCTTTATCTTCAGAAACTTTCATTAGCTTTTTAATATCATAGAATAAAGTTTGAAGACCTTGGCATTCAAGGTCTACTTGAAACATCACTTTTTATTAGAATCAGTTAGAGGCCCCTTCTCTTGGTTCCCAATACTTTGCTTTGTATCCATTGTAGCATACATTATTGAAATAGCTTATCTCTCTTGTTAGCAAGTTCTTTGAGGCCCAGACTCTTTCATTTACTATTGTATACACCTAGGGCCTAGTATGATATTTGAAACATAGTTATTAGTCTGAATACTTATTAGAAACATGTATGTGTGCTGGCACTTGAAATGTATCCTGAGCAATATCCTAATTGGTTGTCAGTCTCTCATCAGAGAAAAACTCCTCAGAGGCTGTCTTAATCATCACTGTACCAGCCTTTAGTGTTTTAACTGGTACATAATGGCACTCGGTAAATATTTGTTTCCTCCTTAGGCACTTTCATATTTTTATTTTAATTAGTTATCTATCTGAAAAACTTTCTTCATAGTCTTTGCCCATTGAAATTCTACTCAAGCTTCCAGGCCTAACTCATGCCACAGAAACTGTTCTGTGAAGTTGCTTTTCTCTGATTGGGCTGTCATAAATAGCACTTCTGTCCTTCTGTGTTCATTTTATATTATTTCATATCTGCTTTTAAGTTGTAAATTATTGAGGGTGGGAACTACATCATCATTTTATATACCATAATACGTAATCAGGGCCTTTGTCACAATAGGCACAATAATTACTTACTAACTGAATGAATGAACAGGAAATGATTCAAATATTTTGAATTTGGGTGAATTGAGTAATAATGGTAGTAAGAGAGAAATAGGTAAGTAAAGAAAAGGAGACATTTTTGAAGATGGAGGAAGATGGAGTTCAATTT